TGTGTACAGTAGGCAGTGGTAATGTACCTGAACGTTGGATGCCAACCACCAAACACACACTTCCGGGTCTACGGTGAGGCTTCACCCTAATACTAACAGGGTTGTCTTAGCTAAATAAATCAATAAATCAATAACGTAACTAGTTTGAGCAACGTGACGCAACATCAACTTCTTTCTGGTTCGTTGTTAATAGCGTCTTTAGCAGCCACTGTAACAATAGCAAAAAACGTAGTTTTCCTACAGTTTTGTTTAGAGAACTAAAAGAATGTACAAAGAAACTAAAAACTCCGAATCATGTACATAAACCGAATAGATAGTGTGAAAATAAAATGTACATTTGTCGCTAGAAAAGTTAGCAAAACGAAGCTAAGGCCACAATCTATCTTAAAATATAGCAATTTCCATCGAAAATAGAAGGGATATCCGCCATGTTTTTTGTTCATGCCGGGGAAACACTCGGCAGTCATGTGACCTAAAGCATGCCCGTAGAAATTACGAGGAAAATGAAACGTAGCCGTGCTACTATTTCAGAGCCCTTATTGTCAAATGCCTACGTTTTGCGCTGTGGACAAATGTAGGTATTAAACGATTTGGTGTGAGACTTGACTCACCTTTCAAAAATTTCGAGGGCCGAAATGTGAGCCACCAGGTCACAGCAGTGTGTAGTGTAGTGTATGAAGGTTTCATATTCCTGGGATCATGCAGTGAGATGTTGGCAGACTTCAGCTCCACATCAAGTCTTATCAGAAAGTGTTTGACTGGACTGGACGTTTTGCTTTGTGCTGGTCGTCGTGTGCTGGGATCTCTGACATGATAAGATGCTGACTGTACCCACTTCCTTGAACCTTCCTTATCTGTGCCAGAGAAGAATTTCACACAGTGACCTTTACCTTCCTTTCAAACAGTACTGTATAAACAGGTAATGGTGAGTATATGTAAATATTAAGAGCTTGTCAGTAAATTTGTATATAAAGGGCTATTTCAGTGGCTGCTGCGTCATCTCTTAGTCAGTGTTTAGTTTGTTTGGTAGCTGCGATACTGAGGCTACTTTGAAGGTTTGAGACATCACATGCTCATCTCTTAATCCCCTGTTTAACTCCACTCCCTGGATTAAGTAATTATATGCGCAAATGAAAAAGCAAAATATTACAAAACAGCAATTATGAGCTCAAAATATGAGGAATGCAATGAGAAGCCATTTTTACAGGGAATTGGGGCGTGCAATGTTCTTTTAACCCGACAGCACTCTGCTTTGGTACGTTACATCTGACAAGTTAAGACTTTCTAAACTCCTGTAGTTTCTTCAGCAAAACACTAATTACACACCTACAAAACTTTTTTTTTCATTTATTTTTTTTTATAGCTCCCCCAAGATTTCCTCTTCCCGTTTCCATCTGACACTTTTTCACTTGGCTGCACATTTAAACATCCGAACAGTTAAGTCACTGCAGGATGCACTCTGACAAGCAACATTAGAACCACTGACCAAAAACCCTAATATTGATCTACACCTCCTTCTTTGTGGCAGTTTTGTCTCCTAAATCAACTTTAGTGATTTTTTAAAAGTGTAGTTTAGGTTCACAAGTTTACTTTTGTGATTTCTTTCCTTCTTTTCTGGGGATTTCATCAACGTGTTTTTTACTGATATGCAGAACAGGCGTACTGGAAATCATTTTATCACACATGAGCCCTGAAAAATCTGTAGTTTTAGAGTACATTTTCAAACATCTGACTTTGAACGTAACTTCATTACTCCTACTAAACGATTCTGGGGTGTAACCCTGCTTTTCTCTTTGTCATCAAACCTCAGATTGCTTAACTTTTTTTTTTAGTTTTTAGAAACTACATTTCAAAAGGTCTCTTTGTGGAGTGCTCGAGGTGAGATAAGATCCGTTGTGTGTATCCTTCAGTGCAAACATATGGCTATGCATTTGTGGGATGGAGTTGGGAGTGTGTTTGACAAATGCCTGCCGATCCTAGAAATGAAAGACTGTCTAGATAAAATATAAAACACAGTCCAACCCTTGTTTGTGAAGCATAAATCTCCTCCACATCTGCCAGAGCTTTGCCGTGTTCCTGTTGTCGGTGCTCGGGAGAGAAATGCCACCAAGATATGATTTTCTGAAGCTCGTTTGCCGTTTTCGTCACTTTGTTTCTCAATACAGGTAAAAGTTAATTTTTTTTTGGCAGCAGGAAGATTTGATAACACTGGGTTACAAAAAAACGTTTTTTTTTTTGAAGGTGTCCAGGATTTTCTAACTGATTTAGAACATTTTTGCAACGCTGAATCCAAACATGACATCTGCTTTTCTGTATCAGGTCAGGTTTTTATGCCAGCTCGATTTTAAAAAATCAATTTTGCCACTAAATCGATTAAATTTTTTGATATTAGCGATTGATTTTTTTGAGCATTTCTCATATGAAATCGGATTTTCGAGGAAAAATTTCACTTTCTAATCCTTTTCATGAGCTAAATGATCCAAAAGTTGATGAGAGTAAACATTTGTAAAGGTAAATACAAGTCAATTGCATGTTTCATCAAATCAAAATTTTGACCTCATTGAGCAAAATCAATGTAAAATTTGGATTCAGCACATTGCAACTGTCCAAAATCAGCTCAAAAAACTTTGACACCAAAATGAGTGTAGACCAGTGTTATGATTCATGCGTTTGTTCATGCTAATACAACGCCTTTTATTGACTTCTAAGCTTTATTTTATTGGTGTAACTGCTCCAGATGGCACTAATTCTAATCAATATTTAATGTGACAAAGGGGTGTAGTATGTGGATGCTACAACTTTGTATCTAGAGATATAATGTATCTAAATATAACCAACATATTTTCTAGACTAGTTTCTTTCTCTTCCACCTCTATTAATCTAAATCAATACATACTTTTAACTCCCCATACAAGATACATTCCTGTCATGGTGATCCTGAGAGGTTTCCATCAAAGAACTGTTGTGCTACACTTCAAATATTAGAGTCGATCCATCAACTGCATCATCCACACCAGGAGGGTGAACGTTAGCGGGATATTAAAGGTCCTGTGTCCCCTTTTCAGCAAATTAATGAAAATCCCATGTGTTCCTAAAATATGCCTTTACAAATTTCAACCTAAAATACTGCAAAGAAGGTTAATTTACCATAACATCTGGTGTTAGAGCTGTTCTTAACGGGCTGTTTCAGTGTCTGTAGCTTTAAATGCAACTTAACTGCTGCTGTCCACACACCCCTAAAGGAAGAAGACTCTCTGTGTCTGTAATTGTCAGAGTGGAGCTGAATTCACAGCACAGCCGTTGTTTTTAGCTCAGGTGTTTGGTGAGTTTATGAGACAGTGGTGCAGTTATGAAATCAGTAGTATAGCGGTTTCATACTCGTCCCATTGTCCGACAACAGAAATAGAAAATATGTAAATGAGAAAGGTTTTATTGGGACTTAAGCTGCATTTAAATTCAGTATATGTGAGCACAGAGAGGGGAGAGAAGCAAATAGAGTTTTGATTGCGCTGACTGGTATCATATAAGGTGTGTCAGAAAAGTTCCAGAACTGGTACCACAAAGGATATATTTCAAATACAAAGTACATTTTTCCCCTTTGAAGTAATCCCCCTGGAGTCTAACACGCTTTCCCAGCCTTCTCTGCCACCATACACTCCTGGAAAGATTCTTCCGGGATCCTCCACAGCTCAGTCGTCACAGCCATCTTGATGTCGTCCACGTCTTCAAAACGGGTCCCCTTGATGACCCCCTTGAGCTTGGGGAAGATGAAAAAAATCCCACAGAGCCAGGTGGGGTGAGTAGGAAGGTTGCTCCTGCACGGCGATGTTCTTCTCAGCCGGTAACCGTGGGATGCTCAGGGTATTGTGAGCAGGCACGTTGTCATGGTGACGCAGCCACGACTTGTCCTGCATCAACTCTCGTCTCCTGAACGAAACAAACGCCGCAGGATTTCTTTGTAGACGTGCTGGTTGATCGTCTGAAGGGGAAAACTGGTAGTTTGAAATATATCCTTTGTGACACCAGTACTGGAACTTTTCAGACACACCTTATATTGCTCTTAAGGTTTCCACCGTCTCTGAATGTCTCTGAGCATTTCCGCATGGCTCTGACCACTAAGGATTTTTCTGTTGTTGTGGTGACATTGCCATCAAAAAATACGAGTCCTCAGCTGGATCTTCAGTTCTACACATGCTGGGAGTGCATGAAGACTCTTGTGCTCAGTCTTGCATCCAACAGTGGACCATTTGGTGTGTTTTTCTCGTGGCTTTAGAGTTAGCAAAGGAGCTAAACGTGGTGGACTGTGAGGCAGCTGCACATTCTGCATAACTCACCTGGAAGCAGCGTGTTGTAAGAAACGAATGATTATGCAAAGTTTGATCTAGACAACGCTGGAGTCGTTAGCTGTTACGCAGCAGTTCATCAAAATTCTCACGGTTTGTAAAGCTGTTCTTCTTTCAGTTCCTGTCTTTACTGGATTTTTTTAGTAGCTTTTTATGCCTTTGGAACCAGTTTGTTGTTGACACAGGTGTTTCCGATAGAGAAAGGAAGCAATTAAGGTCAACAGTTTCTGAGCTAAAGTGCACATTCCATCTGAAGAACATTGTTTAACTCTGAAGCGGTGCTCCTCATGCGTCACCAGGCAAATATGTCACTGTCTGAGGTTTGTCTTTCTCAGCTGTGACACACAAATCTTGGTGTCTATCTTGTGTATCAGTGGGCGTGCTGCGATCCAGTTTGGCCAGTCATGACATGTAAGGCGGGGTCAGTGTCAACACAGCGTGACATCACTCCCAGCAGCAATATAAGGAGCCCAAAATATCAGAAATTATGATTGCAGTGATCATCGAGCAGGTTAGACTGTAAGACTGGGTATCAGCAGTGTGTAAAGATGCGTTGCTTTAGGCCTCGGATCAGCAAGGCAGCGGATGAAGTGGATAAGAAGGCAGCGGCGGTGCAGAAATGGCAGCCTAGTCAAAATGAGCAAGTCAGCAGAGATGTCAGGGAAGGTGGGGATGCTGGAGCTCAGCACGGCTCCAGATATCAACTCAGCAGGTACTTTATTTCTGGCGTGCGCACACATCTGACCTTCTTCTGTCTTTCTGTGGACGCTCATTGACACAAGCCCTCAACTAACTGTCTAATCCCAACCCTAAACCTCATCTCGACCTAATTCTAACCATAAGTCTTGGTTGTAGGCTGAAGACTCTGAACATCTAAAGCTGTAATTTTTTTCCTCATAAAGATGGAGGATGCTGTGTCTGACTCTCCTCGTTTCTCTTTCCCTCACATACAGTTGTTAATCCTAAAAATACCTCCAATACTCCAATTACTGTACTAAAATATTGGGTTTAGCCCTTTAAAGATGCTAATTGATGTCTTTGTCTGATGATGGTGCTGTTGTTATGCATTTCAATATATAATGAGTGTTGTTTTATATATTATGCAAACATTAGGATGCTCTTTTAGTTTAGCGGCTAAGAAAATAATCAAAGTAAACACAGTATTTATTGCAGTGCTCTTGTGTTGAACTGCATTAAACGTACAGGCGTCGCTCATCCTGCAGTTACTCTACATTATAAATCAAACTTTTTGTCTTGTCGTGCTGCTGCTCTGTTCTTGATCTATTTGACGGTGCTGTCGTATAATTTCCCACAGATCTAAAGGAAGGTTTCTGGAAGACATCCTTCTTTTTTTCTGTTACATTAAAACATTATGTCACATGAGTTGTTATCTTTAGATGGGGATTTTTTTTGTCATAGCCATAAACATGACTAATAAACATCTCTAAGCATGCAGTCACCCTCCTAGAGGGGAAAAAAAAAGATTACTAATGCTGTCAAAATGTGGTTTTTCTTGCTTTTTATTCAGTACTCTTAACTGTGAATATTAACCATCAGACTAGTCAGACCTCAGTGCCGTCATTTTTGTGGTTGACACTTGAGTCTTTGTGACCTCCAAGCATGTAACAAAGATTGTAGATTGTAACTGGTAAGACTAGTTTTTAACTGAAGAATTGGACTCTTCTGATGCACATGACAGCACGGTGCACCGTCAATGATGAAGACACCGTCTGTAGATACTGTATGTGTACATCCAGATATGCAGCCTGTCGGATTTGTGCTTGAGTAAGTATCTAGAAGAACATCACAGCAAATATGTTCCCAAATAGTTCTCTGAGCCTTTTGTCAACAAATAGTTTAGATTGTTTTCTCCGGGTTGTGTTTTAGAGATAAGATTTTACATACTTTAAAGCCGGTTACAAGGAAGTATCAGCTGGCTGGCACAGAAATGAGTTGAAATGTGCTTATGCTGAGTGATATGAATTGAAACACACCACCATGTGCACATTTTGTTCATTAGCACTCCACAGCTGTAGGCGGCTTCAGTTGTTTGGCGTTTTCAAAAATGGGTATTAAAGTGCAAAATTAGATTTTATTGCTACCAGTCACCTTTTGTGTTTATTATTTGGTTGTGTTTTTATTTTTTTCTCACAATACAACACCAGAAACCCTTATAACTCAACATATGGTAACAAGACAAGAAGCCACATGTTCTGTAGCCCCACCATCAGATCCACTGTCATGCTGACGTGTTTTCTCTTTCCCGTAGGCTTATGCGGCCAGACGATGCCAATATCGCGGGAAACGTCCACGGCGGGAACATCTTCAAGATGATCGAGGAGGCCGGATGCATCGTTGCCACGCGGCACTGCAACAACCAGAACGGGGTGAGAGACAACAACCACAGTCACTGTTTTAACTCTCTGAACCCAAAGCAGCTTCTGGTTTTTGTTTTTGTTCCTGTTACATTTTACTCTCTGTAGGATCATTTTTCACTGTAATATGAAGTCCTGCATTTCTATGGAAACATCACGTCCACGGCGAGGAGGAGAGAGAAGTCATACATGCATTTTGTGCAATAATAACATGAATTATAAAAAAAAAAACTACAAAAGAATTGACAAACCCTGTAATCAACATTTTTTCCCAGAATAATCCAGTGGGGCTTCTATTCGCTATGTGCATTTTACTATTTATATTTTTATTTTGTTTCCATACCTGTCAGCTCTGTGTGAACACGGCCTGCAGTTCATCTAAAAACTCTCAATTTTGGTCACGATTGTTAGTCACAGATGAGTCAATCATGGCTTCAAGGTTGTGGCAATGTGTGCAAAATGTTTACATTTTTGCAGAACTTGATTAGAGTAAATGTAGTAAAAATGTAAAAATATCATGATCTTAAGCTTAGATTGAGGATTTATGGATACAGAGAGGCTTCATTTCAACACCTGAACAAACAGACTAAAATATAATGTTTTAAATCGTGTACAGTAAATGTACTGAAACACACAGAGGAAGAAATTATACCCCTACTCATGTGAACTATTTCTTTAATAAATATTAAAAAACAATAGAAACACAATTGATGTCCTTAATTTGAGGAAGTTGTCGTAGAAATATGTCAACTATGACACAGTTCCTCAGTTCACCTTGTTTACTTCGAGTACGTTTTATCTTATGAATCTCTTAAACTGCATGGCTGAAGTAATTTATGTTCACTGTTGCCTCACCCAGATTTGTTTTCTCGCTCACCCTCTTGATTTTGCTTTTCACCTGGCGAACTTTAGCCGACTTTTGAATTCCTCCTGATTCAGTTGTCATCTCACCTGCTGTGACATTCTCATCATATTCTGCTGATGTCCTGTGTTTCAGTGCTCAGATAAGACATTAAGACAAAACCCTTCCTGGACGTGCTGCTACAAACGACAGTCAACCTCTGCTTTATGAGGACGTATTCAGTTTTTCAATAAATAATAAAAATTATGGAAAACAATAAAGTCAGTGAGTTCGTATTAGTTTTAGTAGGAGTATGTTCTCTCCCCTAATACTGTCAAATAAAAGAGCTAAGTTCTGAGTTTGAGTCAGCAAGATTTCATCCTGTGATTTAATGAATCTGACTGCAACATATTTGTCTTTTACAGACATCATGGTACCTTTAAACTCGTCTATAATCGACTCCATGGTGTCACACTGCAGACGCTAAGGTCAAGATTCCACCCACTGCTGTTACTTTGACTAGCTTTGCACTTCCATTTAATAGATTTAAAGCAGTTGGGATGGTACATTTTTACATTAGACGTGTAGAGTTGAGTGATTTTGATGAACTATTTTGATTTTAGGCTTGCATTTGGTTATTTTTCTTGATGGAACGATGCGCCACAAGTAATTATTCCAACTACCCTTCAAAAATTGTAAATCCTAAGATGATTTTTTTCTTCTATTTTTTTTCCAGTTTCTGGTTCTGATGAATAGTTTAATTTTAGCGATTTTTATAAATATGCCTTTGAAACCAGCCAGCACGGTTGGGGGTTCACAGGATTCAATTTTAGTTTTTAACGCTTGAACAAACAGACTAAAATATAAATAGTGTAGAAGTTACCAGTGTAGTCATTATAAACTTAGACACACATCCTTGAGAGAAAAATCATAATTTTACTTATACTAAGCACAAAAAGCAATAAAAAAAGAAGCAATATGACCATAGCTGATTTTTTTTTTCTTTTTTTGGGGAGGACGGTCGTCTTAAAAATCTGTAAACCATCACAAAGTTCCTGAGTTCAACTTGTTTACCTAAAATATCCAACATCTTTTAAATCTCTTATTTTCAAACTGCATGGCTGAATTATTTTTACAGTTTCCAGGTCCAGATTTGTTTTCTCGCTCATCATCTTGATTATTTACTTTTCACCTGGTGAACTTTAGCCGACTTTTGGTTTCCTCCTCATTCAGTTGTCGTCTCACCTGCTGTGACATTCTCATCATATTCTGCTGATGCCTTGAAGGTCGCTGTTCAGATAAGGCACTTCCTGAATGTGTTGCATACTACAGAGCTTCATGAAAAGGCCTTACATTTTCAATAAAGAATAAAACTCACGTAAACATTAAAGTCAAATTGAGTTCAGATTAGTTTTAGTACAGGTACATGCAGGCAGAAGTTTCCAGTCATTGGTACTGTCACACGTTTTATCCATAACCTCCCTTTACGCTAATTCCATCCAATAAATCTGGGTTGGCAAGATTTCATCCTGTGATTCACTGATTTTGAAGTGCAACTTGTGAATAGTTGTGAACAGTTACTCCATCAGGGTGTATCACACAGCAAAACCTGTTATTAACCAAGAAAAAGAGAGTTACAAAAGAAGCAGCTCATTATAATCACGCTGTGTGTTACTCGGGTGTCGTGTCATCATTCTGACATTTTTTTTTTACCTTGTTTGCAAAAGTTTTGCATATTTCAAGTGTGCAACATATTTATCTTCTTGAGACATCACGGTACCTTTAAACCTTTCTGAGTATCGGCGCCGTGGTGGTGCACTACAGATGCTAAGATCAGGATTCCACAGATGTCTTTAACTAGCTTCCGTTTAATGGATTTGAAACATGATGAAAGTGAAAGATGTCATTTTATCAAAATTGCTAAAGATTTCTAAAACATTATTCCATTATTTAAGCCACCCAGCCAATGCTTTACATTGTCTGGCACTGACTTTAATGCTTTTCTTGCCTTTAATTACACATCATAGTGTTGTTAGTTGGACTGAGCAGCTTAGATACATTTCCATGGCACAGTAAGTATTATTATCATGTATTGTACAAGAAACAAAAACAGAAGATTTGCATTTTTGTAACATCTACTAATTTGGTGTTTTTTTACACTTCTCTGCACATCAACTCTGGAAACATATTTCATCGTGCTGCATGTATCGTCCAACTACTTTCTAACAACTTGGTCCTCTGTGCTGTTTTTGAATCATGCTGCATTTATTTTATTGGTCAAATATGTTGTATTTTTCCACTCAGTTTCTCTAACTTGTCTCCTATCTGCTCTGTTCAACTGAAGTCTCTCTGAATTATTAGTTTTTTTACAGGATCTGTTTCGTACAAATGCTTTTTGGTACATTAGATTTCGTTAAGTTTTCTCACAGATGAATAGTTTAAGTTGGAAAGTTGAAAATATTTGTTCTGTTTTTACAGTTTTCTGACAAACGGTTTCATTTTGGGGTTCAGAGGGTTTAAACCAGTGACTCAGCTGATTATTTAGAGCAGAATTGCCGGTGCTGTTGCATTCATAACATTGTTTCTTTAATGGCATCTTAAAAAGCAGTTTACTGCTTAGCATTGTGAATGTATTTATGTTTGCACGAGCTTTAGCTTTGCTGTTCTTTTTCCTACAGGAACGCTGTTTGGCGGCGCTGGTCCGGGTGGAGAAGACAGATTTTCTGGCCCCCGTGTTCGTTGGCGAAGTCGCCAGCGTCACCGCTGACATCTCTTACACCTCCAAGCACTCGATAGAGGTCCAGGTCAAGGTCATGGCTGAGAACATCCTCACAGGTGACTCACTCTGACATTCACAGCTACTTGTTGAACAGATTCATGCTATGATGTGAAGTCCAGCTACTCCTTGAACAGTTTGACAACATGTTTGAATGAGTGATGACCTGAAATGGAATTTAAAGCAAACGATTCAGATTCTGCCATTGGTTACAGAGGTTACATTCATAATTCTGTGACACCTCTGGTTACAAGATGATAAAATTTAACAGTCTTGATGGATTTTTGCTTTGTTGGATGATTTGGTTTGAACCTGTTGCCTCATTGTGCAGCACTGTTCACCTTTAGCCTCATTGTCACCCGCACCACTGCAAAACAAGGACTGAAAGAATGACAAGCATTCGAGTACACAGGTATCTAAAAAACAGGAAGACAGACATGCAGACACACACACACACACACACACACACACACACATATGCAACGCTTGCTATCAGGGCTGCAACTAGCGACTATTTTATTATTAAATAATACGTAACGGCTGTTTTTCCCGATTTATTGGTTAATAATTGTATACATGAAGTGCCACTGCTCATCAGGTGAGATCTATGTTGTGTTTAATCACCAGTGCAAGTCCCAAAAGATTCAATTTTCAATAATAGAAAACAGAAAAAAGCATAAAATTCTAATGTTGGAGAGCATGGAACTGATGAATCTTTAGAGGTTTTGTTTAATTAGCATCTTAATCAAATATCCCAGCAGGTGAAAGGTCCAACAGTCGGCTAACTTAAAAACTTAAAAGAAACTTAAAGTTGCCTTACACAAAAAACAACAACAAAAACAAGATACAAACAGGAACGCAGTGCACTGTGTTTCTTTCCAACACTGATACTGGTATGAGTTTCTTTTCATCTTTTAATTCTGCTGTTACTTGAACAAGATCAAATTTGCATCACATTTCACAGCCTGCTGCACCAAACATCATGTCCTCATTAATTACACCTGTTCTTTATCTACTTTGTGTATGCATCCATCCATCATCTACACACCGCTTAATCCTCACTAGGGTTGCTGAAGTCTATCCCAGCTGACTCAGGGTGAAAGCAGGGGACACCCTGGACAGGTCACCAGTCTATCACAGGGCTACACTTAGAGACAGACAACCAAGCACACTCACATTCACACCTGTGGACAATTTAGAATCACCAATTAATTTTGGATTTCGGGAGGAAGTCGGAGAACCCGGAGAGAACATGCAAACTCCACACAGAAAGATCCCAGGTGTCCACATCGTGAACTGAAGATCTTTTAGCTGTGAGGCGTCGGTGCTGACCACCGATCCACCGTGCAGCCCTACATTGTGTATACAGAGACAGCTAAATGCTACATGCACTCATAGTTTCTTGTTAACTTTTATTACATTTGTTTTGGCTGCAGATTGTCCCCTAAATCTTATCTAAATCTAAATCTCTAAATCAGAGACAGAGCTAAATCTAAATTAACTGATGTAGTTGGCTTGGAAACTCTTTTATAAATGGAATCATTGTTCTAATTTTGTCGCTCTCTGTAACTGAGAATTTTCAACAGATATTTTTACTCTGACCTACTTTCCTCCTGTCATTTGTTTGCGTGTTTGGTCAGCTGTTTAGAAGCGATAATTATATCTAAATTTTGAGGAAAAGCATAACCTCCAGTGTGACATTTTGCTGTTTGATCAGTGGAGGGCAGCACACAACAAGCAACGATGCTCTTAGGAGCTTGAAAAATAAAACTGTGCTTTCATGAGGTGCTGCCTTATGTGCTGTGACAGGGGACTAGAAAGTACGAGCCATGTTGGTTTCTAGTTTTAGAGTATTTGCCAGGCGATGCAGTCTGTGACTCTTGTTTATTATTAAGACTGGTGCATATTTAATGTGTGCTCTGTGCACGCACACACTGTATACATATGCAGGCTACGTCTGCACACACACAGTCTCTTGAGTAAAGATGGAGACCACAATGGACTGATCTCTGAACCTTTAAATGCCAGTGGGACCGGTGATGCACAGACTGTTACAAACAAGTGCTGACTGTACTGTAACTACTTGAATTCATATAAAAGTGGGATACTTCTACACCCTATTAATACACGTATAGACACTCACAATATATAATCGGTGCACTTATTTGGCATAAAGTACAAATCCCAAGGGTCTCTGCTTATTTTTTTTTAGAATAATTACTTGTCAGGATGAAATCAAGGAGACTAAACGAGAGAAACGGGGAGACAAAACGGGAACAAGACGGATCGACGGAGACAAGCCGACTGTCACACTGATGGCCAAAGAGATAGCAAAGGCAACGAAAGAGGAAAAAATAAGTGAGAGTAGGGAAAAGATAGAAAGAAGGATGAGGGAAAGGAGGTGTGAGAAACAAAAGAAGTATCCCCTAGACAGCCGTTGCCCTAGCAACAGGCTTGTACTGGTTGGTTGGCTGGTTGCTGGGCTGGAAGCAGGTTGACGGAGGCGGAGGCAGAGATATGAGATGACAGGTGGAGAGCAGCGTACATACATGCAGGCATCAGCGCGGACAACCCCGCTACAGTACGCGGTCTGTCAGGAAGGACCCCCGAAGAGGCCAAATCAGGAAGGAGAGCTCACAGAAGGAAAACACTCGGGGCGCTGTTTGGCTCGATGCAACGTTACAGGATTTATGATTCAGTACATTTTTAATAACGTGGAATCCAGGCTATATTCCTCGATTCTGTTTATTTTTATAGTCGTAGAAAACAATGCTTTAAATAAAGTTAGCCTTGTAAAACCCATACTTTGCCAAGAAATGTCATAAATATAAGATATTTGCACTTTTAGAAGCAAAAAGTCCACAGATTTTGTATGCGGAAATGGCATAAAGCACATACTCGTTTCAATATTTAGCAAAATTTCCAGCAGTTCCAGCTGTCTAAATAGGGGAAAAAGTGCAAAATTGTGCTAGTACGAACAAAAAACAAACAAAAAAAAAAGAGTAACTTTAGTTCTGAAGACTCAAGTGTAGGTTCAGTGTGAGGGCAGTGTGGGTGTAGTGTAGATGAGCAGAGATCCAGCTCGTGTTAAGAGCAGGCGTGGAGGTTAGCTCCTCCGGGACACCCAACTTTTGCTGCAGAGGTCTCCCCGGAGGCTGTGTGGGCCAAACTTAACATATGTAATTGGATTTGTTCAAATTACAGTCCAAATGATCAGATTTAACAACAACATCTGTCAGCAAAACGAACAACACCATCTAAACAGACACTGAATTGAAACACAAGCAGACTGTACACAGATTATTTTACGGTATTTATGTAGAGTGAGCGAATCGGTTTATGCTCCTACATCTGAAATATATCAGCTGTAACATCAAAAGGAGAGCGAGTGGAAGTGGGTCATACGTGAGTTTATGCTTTATGTATGGGTGTGTACTTGTGTGCATCTGAACTGACACAGCTGCTGTCCAAATAAACATATGGATGTGCGATTTTATGCATCTATTTTCGTCCAAACGTCGTTAGAAGGTGCTCGGCTGCGGTCAAGCACACGTTACGGTTTGTTTCATAAATGTGGAAAAAGGTGAAGTAGGATGTGTGTGTGTGTGTCTGTTTGCACTTAGATGCATAATTTTGCAAATGCGCGTTTGCGTGGCGCATGTGTATTTTAAACATGCATGTGTGAGCATGGGTGTGTGTGTGTGTGTGTTTTCATCAGTGTTTGGCCCTTTAAAAGGTTCCTGCGGGGCCGAGGGGGAAGAGAAGATAACGGGAGCAGACATTATTTGCTTCTGTCATGTCGGCTTAGCATCAGGTCTCACACACTGTGGCCCAGTCAGACACGGATGCCAAGTGGATGTACCTGCACACATGCTCCGACACGACGCATGCACGTACGCGACACACTGATGCACGCACACACACACACACACACACACACACACACACACACACACACACACACACACACACACGGTTGTGTAGGGATGACCTGTGTGCTTACAGAGCCTGATATGCTGACACATTCAACACAGAAGAAGTCACACACCTACGCATTCTCACACCCACACAGATGCACAGTGAACACCCACAGTTCCCTTCTCGCTAAAAGACGTCTCACACCGAGGCAGGACTGGCACGGTTTTACACATTCTTCACCAGATCTTTTCCCAGGCATAAGATTGATGGATGGCTTGGACAGAAACACAGAAAATGAATTATACTGTTTGGCTGTAGACATGAATATGTGGTACGTGTGTCTTTCTGCACGACTGTGTACATCACAGCTTGTGCAGCCATGCATGTTTTTGCAGCTTTGCGCATATGCAGACGTGCACGCTCCCAGTATATTACGTTCCTATCTTGTGCATTTATGTTTATTTCACGTGTTTGAGTGTGTGTGTGTGTGTGTGTGTGTGTGTGTGTGTGTGTGCTGGGGGAGGAGACAAACATCCAGGTTCCACAGTCAGTCAGGCAGCATCTCGTCAGGCAGGCCTCACTCACAGACCCCCAGGGTAAGGCTGCCTACTGTGGGCACGAGCCGTGATGATTGTCCCCGCTGGGGGGATTGCACATGCGTACTAACGTACACATGCGCACTCACTGTCAGACCTACACGCACACACACCACAGCGCACACAGATTTGTATATACCCACATATGCACTCACATGTCTGAAAATACTCGTACGTACCTAGAAAATGGCACACAGTCATAATCAGAAAACTCCATGTGCACACACACCCAAAGATCTGCACATAACAATCAGATTTAAAAAAACAACAACATATAAATATACGTATTTGAGCTCAGCTATACGTGGAACACACAATTCCCACAGAGGTGGTCCTGCTTGTACTGCATGCACACTCAGGCACACATTTGCATAATTGCAGCATACACAGAGCGTGCCCCTTCATCACACACATGCATAGACAGAGCTAAGAGCAATGCATTGTGGAATGAGGCTTAAAATATTGTAGCATGACAGCTCCTGTCATGATCCTGGTAGGTCACACAACTGCACATGCAGAGAGAGTGCTGCATGAACATAAATACACACACACACAAATGAAATGTGTTGTTTTGGGTTTCCGTTAAGCTCTGCAGCTTATTAACTTGAAAACCAACTGATAATGCTTTTCTTTGTATTAAATAGTCAAATTATTTATTGTATGTAGTGACTGTTAGCATCCATAGCAGGAGAAAAGAGTTGTGGGATTTTTATGTGTTTGAATTTGAGAAATTGACTCCGAAAAAGATTTAGAATTCACCAAACACTGTAAAAATAAAGTATGAGGGCATATCTGAGGTTTGCAACAGGACGCTACTACAGAGTAAAGGTTAGTTTATTAAAACAGAGAATTGCTTAGATAGAAATGCCTCTGGAGTTTGTCAACCTTGGAGCAGCTTGTTGTCTCTGCCGGATCTCTCAGATCTGTGTTTAGCACTTTGAATATTCAGTAATGTTTAAGTTGAAGATTGGATATTCCCCTTTGACTCAGAAAACACAGTCCCAAAATCTCTGCCTCTGGCCTGTTTTAGTCTCTCCCTATCAGGCTGTAACATCTCACAGCTGGCCTGTAGTGTAGTTAAAAGTAATGGAGCCTTGGCTCAGCACAATGGAAAATCTGTGGTTTTGATCACGGGGATCAAGCACCAAGAACGATCCCCTCTGCACTGTCTCGGAACACGCTGTTCAGGAAGGAGAAAAGAAAACATGGGCTTTTTTTTCCTGCTCTGAGCAAGAATTAAGGACAGTGAGTGGAAGATAAAGGGGGAGAGCAAAGGGGTGAATGAATAAAAAGACAGCAATAAATCAAGTGAACTGCTTGAGGTGAAAGAAATGGATGAGGGCGAAGTTAACGGAGAGGAAAAGAGGTTGGAGAAAAAAGGAACGGAGGAGGAGGAGGAGGAGGAGGAAAGGGACAACAAGAGATCAAAGATATTCGGATAGTTTAGACTGAGACTGTTCAAAGTCTTTCAGAGGCAAAAATGCACATTTAGGAGTTTAGAAGAATGCTATGAAGTCATGATTGATGCCTCAAACTTAGATTAAAGGGATTGGATGAGGCATTAAGTGTGCTGGAGGGACTTTCCCCCCGCTTAAGCACCCATGGGAATGCTCAAATCAGGACCCAAAAATGTTCTAATTTATAATTACATATGACAGAGCACGGTGTTTGGGAATTCTGCTGCCTATCATGTCGTTAAAAAAAGGACAGTTTTGCCTGTATGTCTAAATCAGCTTAGCAACAGCTGCTGCTTTGTTTTGTAGTCCACATCTGATTATATCTTGTTCTGTATTCAGCTCAAAGTTAAATGTTTTTGGGGTCGACACAATAACGGTCACATTAATTTTGTTTTTGTTTGTCCTCTAACAGAGTGTTATTGAGCTCATATCAGTTTGCTTTATTGCTGCTTACATTAAATCAGCCAGGTAATTGCAGTGGGGCTGTCTGATGTCTAATATCTTCCATCTCACCTGCAGCCGACGTCGCGCATGCTAATGCATTCGCTGCACCGCTGCATATCCGTCACACGCCCGTCTCCCTCTACTACAACACCATTAATTTAAAAAAAAAAAAATACCTGCCACTGCTTGGTGCCATTTGTCTCAGCTGTCATCACAGTGCCCTTTTACATCCCTTCTTCTGAGGCTGACACCAGATGAACTTGAAAGTCGCTGTGCTGTCAGTTTATTGAGCATTGTGCCACAGAGTGTGGAAATTTGAGCGAGCAGATTTGTGGAACTTGTGTTCACGGTGGATGTAGCCAAAATCTTCCTATTCAGTAATTCATTAATCCTAACTAAGTAAGCCAGCTGTCCCTTCTGCTAGCTGAGAGCCATCTTTTGTGCCTGAATTCAGTTCTTTATAGTCACATAGACACCAACACATACAATAAGCCAAGTTGTCAGTAATAATGACGTGACTGCAAGAATTTTCCTTGCTAAGAAGACGAATTTCAAACCTAAAGATAAATATTTGTACTGTTGTATTTCCAAGGTCTGCCTCTAATTTGGTTTCGCCTTAACATGCATGATATTGAAAGGATGAAGAGGAAGAATATGGGATGTTTTAGTGGACATGCTGTGAAGGGTGCAGTCCAGGCAATGACATGGTCAAATATTGACATTGTGTTTATTCGATGCAGAGGGATTTCAAATTCAAAGCCGGTTCCCTGGTTCCATTCTGGTCAAAAAGGTCATCAGTCGGACTGGGAACGGTTCTTACCCGGCTGGTTCATTCTGGCGCTTCACCCTTTGTCTCTCTCTCTCTCTCTCTCTTCCTCTTCCATTGCTGCCCTTCCTCCCTCCATCCTAAACACAGTTCACTTACAAGGTCCAACAGGAGCTAATAATAGACCGGAGTCACTCGGTCTTGGGTAGAGTCAAGGATATGTAAATATGCCTCCCTTTCTCCTGTGGGCAACTTCCTGGTTGCTGGCAAGGGCGTGAGCCAATGAGAGGAGGAGGAGAAGGGGAAGCGTAGTCGGCATGGCAACGAAGCCCGGCTGTCTGCACAGTTTTAACTCGGGTGTAAAATGCAAATGTTATTTCCCTGGAGTGGCCTGCCATAAGCCGCCACTCCCACTCTCTTCTCTTAACTTCACTTGTCCTTGTGCAAAGTCTCCGGCTGGCTCGCCGACGATCGCAGAGCTCACATTAACGACACAATTCTCCGTTTTCATTAAGGGCTGTTTTATTTATGAGTCGTCCTATCTTTAGTGGCATGTTGATGCAGCGCACATTCATGCAATTTTAAATAACTGTGTATTAAGGGTCGTAAAATATACGCGCAAAGCACCAATTATAGCAAAGATTATCTGCTAGATTAAAAACCGGTGCTTTAATTAACATCTAATAAATACATTTGAATATAAGCCTCATGGGTATGTATATAAACCCAATAAGTTAGTCAGATGTTGCAGCCACAAGTAAAAGCTCTTGACACTTTAAGACGGTGATTTCATTTCAACCTGCTGGCCCCGCGCTGTCTTTAATCTGTGCGCCTCCCTCGTGTGCCATAACAACACCACCTCAAAATAGCCCCTCTCTCTCTCTGTTAGCGAATTAAGTGAAAAAGTGTGGGCAGAATAGAACAGATATCACTATGACAACCTCTCCGCCTGATTGCTATGAGACGTGAGTTTGGTCTTCTGATCTTCTGGTTCTTAACTTTCTGCAGGAAGGCAGTGCAGATGCTACAGCCTCTCACATGGTGCGGAGTTTGACGAGCGGTTCGCCGTTTCTATTTAATCCATTTAACATAAAAATGCTGACAGTTCAGGATTATGCAAAATCTTGCACTTACCGAGTTCAGTCAATGTGAGCTTGTGTTCCGAATAGACAATGACGATTGTCTTCGAACAAAGTCCTCATTTGTTTTCTGCTCCTTTGTTTGCAGAAGAAATACTAATCTTCACGCAGCACCAATGGGTTTGTTAAAAACTGGATTGACTTTTACTGGGGTATTAATAAAAGTGTCTGTTTTGACAACAGCAATTTCAGAATCATTTGCTCCATTGTTGCTTCATTTGAAAGATGTGTCAAAACTTTCTTGGTTTGCAGGCACAAAACTCTGTCTGTTTATTGTGTGGAAAGAAAGCTGTAAAGTTCCTCGCTGACATTTTTCATCCTTTTCTTTGTAACTGCAGGTGCCAAGAAGTTGGCCAGCAAGGCAGCGGTGTGGTTTGTCCCCATGTCTCTGCAGGATGTCGGCAAGATCGCGGAGGTGCCGCCCATCAAGGTACACGGAAACTTGAAGTCTGGCATTTTACCTGTCAGCTTCTCTCTGCCTCTGTTACTCCCCCTCCCCCCCTGCATCTGTATATCAAAAATGACATTACTGGAAGCTGAGGAGAGCAAATCCACAAGAGAGGTCATCTGGTCAAGATAAAAATGTTGACATTTAACAGTGTGAAAAGTCAATTTCGCTTGTCTTCGTCTTAAATGTCAGCGTGTTTCAAGTCTTTACTGACACCACATGCACTCATGCAGACACTTATGTTTGAGTGGACGTATACATTTGTGCATTTTGCTCATGCTGTATAAATTCTGTTTATAGTATGCTAGCGCTGAGCAAGAGGAGGAGGGCAGGAAGCGTTACGACGCTCAGAAGATGGAGAGACTGGAGACGAAAGCAAAGATTGAAGAGATAGTGCCACCTCCAGCCAACCCAGGTAACGTATTACCCACTGAATCAAACTAATCATCTCATGTGGCTCATGATAATAGTGTGTAATCACAAGTGTTGTGTAATGCTTTGCCATTCTCTTATCGTCTTAGTGCAGTTGTCGCAGTAACACGAGAAACTTCAGCACATACAATGAACGAGACGATGTTAAGTGTGTGTTTCCACTGCTGCCACGTTTGCAAATTAGTTTTGTCAAAATAAAAGGAAATATTTCTGCAGAGGAAAAAAATTACTGTCACATAGTTGTTATTGTTAAACACAGAGATAAAGCAATGATAAATGGATAATCCTGAACATTCTAGTTGTGCAGCTTTAACATATAGAAGACACACAAGAAATGACTTCCAATTTTATTAAACATTTATTTTACTATGTAACTTTATTCAACCACAGTAAAGCTGGTGTGTAATTCTTTAATTTTGTCATGTTGACTCAACACCAGAAGAGCCATCAAAAGGTGTGTGTAGATCAACAGGTAGCATGTCGGCACCATGCAGTGGACAGCATCTCATAACGCACGCAACTTTCTTCCTTTTTTGTGCAAATACACACACATCTTTTTTGTTTACTGCAAAAATCAGCACATTTTTTTCTCACATTTCATTTGTTGAGTGCATGTGTCTGTGGTTGTGTGTTTGTACTACAGAACAGCACACAGTTGGCTTCAGCCAGCACAGTTTGATCCATTTGGTGGGCCCCTCCGACTGCACACTAAAAGACTACGTAAATGGAGGTGAGTCTGTTTCTTTTCATTTCTAGGTTGTATAGCAGCTTATTAGGCAGACAGTGTGCTTTCTGTCTTAATAGCGGAGAGATGTAGGCTCAGTTTTGGTACTTTGCTGCTTAGCTTTTTACCATTTTGAGCACATCTTTGTGTTCTCCCACCAAACTCTGTGTCCTCTCAGAAAGCCATCAGAATTACCAGAAAGTCAAGGAAGAGAGTGAAGCATCTAGCCGCTGAAAGCCCAATTATTTTTCTCCAGTGTCTTTGGATAAAATCCGATCTGACGGACCAGTGAGTTGTGAAAGTGTGAAGTTGTTTTGAGATTTTCTGCTCTCTGGTGATCAAAAATAACTTAATTGAGCTTTCTGTGGTGACTAAAGTGTTCAGAAAACAATCAGTGATTAATATACCTGAAATATGTTTCTAAAATGCCGTGAGGGATGAAAACCTCTTTTTTCAGTGTGTCTGCCATTATCTTTTCATAGTAAATGGCACTTTTAAGCCAGACAACTGTGATGATGATGCTTTTATTATTTCTGTATCTATGTGGTACTTATTCCCCACGTTAAAATGTACAGTAAATTTAAATTACCCATGCACTAAATGCTGTGCACGAAGAAACACACATCTACTCTGACTTCACTGTAGTCCGGAGCACTGAACTTGAATGCAAGTGAGGTGAAATTTCGCAACTGCTTCAGATCACACTGCGTGATTGATCCAGTGCTAACAGCTGCTGACAAGCCGTTTCAGAGCACAGTGTTTCCAAGTTGCTTTCTGCCGCTAGTCTTCAGTACCTGTCAGATTTCTTTGTCATTCTCACACATGTAAAACAAAGAGCTCATGAGCAGCATCAGGCTGTTAAACCCTCTGAACCCCGAGCAGTTTCTGGGCATTTTCTTCTTCTGTCAGATTGTTGCTCAGCGTGGGCTCGTGTTTCACTGCAATATAAAGGCATCATGCACCTCTATGGAAACTGTATAACCATGGCTGGAGGTAGGCAGAACTCGAAGATGTCTTTTGTGGAGAATGAAAGTTGAATATCTTTGATTTGCTGTTTTACAAAAATTCTAAAATGCTTTTTCTCAATACTTGTCTCCTAGCTGCTCTGTGTAAGCACAGCCTGCAGTTCAGCCGAAGCGTTCCTGAATTTTTGTCATGTGATTGTTGGTCACAGCTGAGTCACTACAGGCTCATCTGTTGTGCCAAATAGTTCAGAATTTTGTGTTTTTACAGAATCTTAGTTAGCGCAGACGGTTTATTTTTTTGGTGATTTTAAAGTGATGAACTTAAAGCTTAGATGTGGGAATTTTTCCTCATTAAAGAGCATGTCACAGATAAGTAAACAGTATCAAGGACTGTCGGAAAGCTCACGATCCAACCATTCTCTCTGTTTGTGCTGCTGCTGGTTGTGATAAATGGTGTCTTTTTGGTTATTTCTCCGGCATTCAGAGGTTTAATGTTCAAGGCAGGGGCAGACCGTGGCCTTGGTACAGTATAGAAACCCTTTATAGGAGAAGATGAAACAGAGAAGCCTGCTGTAGGGAACATACAGAAAGATGATTTATAGTAGAAGTAGACAGAAGGAAAGGAGTAAAGTAACAAGCTATTAATACTGTATATGTCCAAAGTAAATTATTTAGGTTATTCCGCCTACTGGGTTTGCTCATGGAGTTATGTAGCCTTTACATCCAGATGAAGAAATATTACAAACTTTAACAAAAGTGAAACATCCTTGACAAAGAAATTTCTGCCTTTTAATATTCACGCTCCTCTAAACAAACTGATGAGGGGTGTCAGAATAAGAATGTGTTGTTAGGTTCTGTAGTGTCACACAGTATTGCCTGAGCAACTGCTTGGATTCTTGTAGGATTGTGTTGCCTGCATGACAGCACTGTTATGAGCTGGCTGTAATGAGGAAGAACAGAATGACAAGGACAAGGCAGGAAATAAACAATTGGAGAAGCAAGTGGAAAATAGAGCGTCGTCGTCCTAACAGGAGATTTACGATGCTGATGCTGTTTCCAGTTTCGTGCTCCGAGTGAACAGAATCAGGAGGTTAAAATATTATCTGGATGTTGCTTTTTTTTTAAAAAACGCCATTTGAAGGCTCTTTAAAAACATTTTTCTTCTGCATGCATTCACCAAAGTCCTTTTGGTGAAGCACGGCAGAATCCTTAAGAGATATTTTCACTGATGCTTCCAGTTGTTTCTCCCTGGGTCATTTCCTCCTGTTGGATTTGATCCAAATTCATAAAAAGCAACACTTTTTGAAGCGCTTTAGAGAAAATGAGACACAAAGCAAACAATACAGAAGGGAAGCAAAGATTAAAGGTAAGATAAAGAATTAATGAACTGAGTGCATATTCAGATTTGATGGTTTAGCCACCCGTAACCAAAAATCTGCTTATCTGATGTCCCAACCCCGTACAAACCTTTACTAAAAACCTTTTGGGCTGCATTTGTAACAAATCCAATATTTTATCAGCACAGAGCAGATGCTCTTTATCGGTTGAGGTATATTGTTTCTGGCTGGATGTTCCTGCCATTTCTATTGAGGTCAGCTATGTAAAGAGGCCATCAGAGAGACATCACAGAGTGAGGAAGAAAAACAGAAGAGAGATGTTGACTGAGAAAGAGAGAGAATGAAAAAAGAAGGAGGCAGGACTGGAACATCGGAGGGGGGGAGCGAGGTGGTGCAGATAAGTGTTGCATGGTTGCCTTTTTAATTTGGAGAACTTGCTGGGAAAGTTGTCTAATTAAAAAGCAAACGTGGAACAAGCATGCGGGTCATGGAGAATACACACAAGCTGCCATCTCTTCCTGTACATGCCGTCGCTCATTAGGCGGCGGTCTCGGCTGTTCGCTGCTGCTGCTGCTTTCACTACACGCATTTTGTTTGTATCACCGGGTCGGGTCAGGCAGCCAGGGTGCTCGGCGGTGCTCTCCTTCCCTCTTACTGTATCTCACTCTGTCTTATTGGAGTAAACTGACTTTCCAATGATGGAACATTCGCTTCCTCTATCACCAGCCTGAGGAGACTCACACACAAGAACTCACATGCATATTCAAAATACCATCGAGTGAGGTTTTATTCCAAAATGCGACACCGCATCCATCCAGCCAAAGATTTGACAATTATGTCACGCTAATGCACGACAGTACAATGGTGTCAGTTTAATACCTTCTATCTGACAGCTGTGTGGCATTCCCTTCTGGGTTGTGTGGGCATGACAGTCATTATTTAATTATTCGGCATCAAAAGTCATAAATGTCCTGTGACAAAACGTTTTTTCTCACTTACAGTTTGTCGTATTCAGCGTGCACATAGTTTTGATATTGTTTGCACAGTGTACCTGTGATATTCAAGAACAGTTTTCACTGACGCTGCTTTCTGCTGAAGAACTCAGAGCATGAAACCGGGCTGTAGCAGCACAGTTGATTGAGGTTTAGAGACGGACATCTGTACACAGATGACGAACTACCACTAGGAGTAAGTGAGAAGACATCTATTTTATAATTCCAACTGCTTGTGGGGAATGAATCACAGTCAATAATTATCAATCAATAAAATGTGCATTCTCTGCTTGGCATTTGGAAAGCAGAGCGGCCTGCACACTGTGTTGAAAGCATTCCTGCTAAATACATGTTCTGTTTGCAAACACCAGATGTTGGGAGTTCGCGACCTGTGTAGCAAACTGCGGAGAACTGGATATGTAATGGAAATCTCCAGTGTGCTGAACGAAAGCTTGGAAGTTTTTCTAAATCCTGGAAAAGTAAAGCCGATCAGAAAGTTTGACTCAAGCTCACCACAGTGCCCATTAATTCAACATTCTTCTTTTTTTTCTTCTTCTTCTGTCTTTTACTTTCCTTTTCTTTTTATTCTTTGCCGCCTGCCCACCTCTCCTCATTATCTCATGCTCTCTCCCTCTCTCTCTCTCTCTCTCTCTCTCTCTCTCCTCCTCCATCCGTGTTCTAAGGAAGCGTAACATCTGTTTCCATGGAAACAGCAGTTGATTGCCACAGGTGGACACCACTCACTGCAGTCTGATTAAAACAACTGAACCACACGCACAAAAAAAGAGAATTAAAAAAGTGCACAGTTAGCTGTCGTGGTGTGTTTTGTAAGGTTAGATTCTGTTATTTTAAAGAAATCACTGGCTACTGAGGGACGGTGATCTCATGCTATTCATTCATTCAGTCTGTGCTCACTCTTACTTTGACTCTCTACCCCTACAGTGTGTTTGAGAGCAAGAAGAGGACATACAGATGTTCTAAAATGGTTCCTAATGCATAGATTAAAAACGGGATGTGAATGTGTAGTGGAGCTGGGGAATGCCGGAGCACAGAACATCTATCACTGTGGCTTTATATTATCTGTCCTCTGCTCTGATCTGTGCTCACTGAGTATATAAACATGTCACTGCCTTAGACAGAGGAATTCAGGGCGACAGGAATATGTCCGCTGGAGCTTGTGTGATCGACCTATGTGTGTGTTACTCTTTGTGTGTGTGTGGACTGCTTCCTCTGCCTTGGCAGCCTTCGTCTCTCCTCCAAAATCAGCATTGATTCAGAAATAAAATAATGAATCGGCTACACTGGTGGGGCCTTTTTTAGACTTAGCAGAAGTAGTTTGGGGGCATCCAGTTGAAAAAACTAAACTCATGGTGTACAAGAGACACGTCCTAGTCAACTGGACCTGCAGCTAAATTAAATATAGACAGAAACAACAACAAAACGGAAACAGTGTAAGGAAAATCAAAGAGGTAGATGCTTCTCTTGAGATGTACGAGGAGGTCTATGTGACAGATAGCAGACCATAAAACATACCATCTCTGAGAACGTGTTAACATCTGCTGCAAGAGAAGACCCACAAATGTCATTGTGACTGAAGAAGCAAATGCAGATTGCCATTAAAACTGTAGGAAACCAGATATAAAATCAAATTGTTTCTAAGCTTTAGCTTTACATGTAATTGTCTGTACAAAACAGATGCATCTATTTAACAA